TCTAGCGTAAGATGGGGGAGTAGAATGCCGGCTCTGGTTCACCAGGACTATATTCTCATTTTGGCTAAAGGGACCAGAAGATCAATTATCTCAATAAGAACAGGAAAATAGGGAAGAGTCAGCAACCTGGGCCCACTTCCCCAGAGTCAGTGACCAGAATAAAGACACCAGACATTATCCAAAATGAGGACACGGGGCAAGATCATTGGATCTGTCGGAAGATCCTAACTGGCTATGGTGGGGGTCACGGGATAGCTTTAGAGGTAAAGAGCATCTCCCCCCCCCCTTTGGTCTAGGGGAAGTATGTCAATTTCCCTCTGCTAGAAGCTGCAGGGGAGGGACATCCACCAGCCTTGTAAACACTGGCTATGAGGTGAGGAGGCTTAATTGAGATGAAAATGCTGAGAAACTATGATCTTTGGTTTGAAGGCTGAAAGTACGAATAGATATTTTTAAACTGTGAAGGGGGCAATGTTCCTTTTAGATATTGGGAGAACAACCAGGATGGGTTGTTCTGCTTCTATCATAAAAAGGTAGAAACCTCAGGTGTTTACCTGTGAGAAGTCTTCTTGTCACAACAAACTTTTCTTGCTGCCAGAGGCATCATATGGAACAGCTGGGTTTAGAAATCTAGGTGTAATATTTAAAACTGCATGTTCAGCTTTTGACTGCTGCCTGCCAACAGTCTTTTATTTTGAATAAGTGTGTCTATTTTTTCAGCAGCAGTTTGCAAAAATGTCAGTGGCTACAAGAACATAGGAAGCCCCACTCAGCTTGCTGAAGTCCTGAGACCTTCACTGCAGACACATTAAGAACAGAAGACTCAGAAGTACTCAGGCTGTGCTTATGAAAAATCAATACTTTCTGCTTTGGAAAAGGGAAATCTTAGACAGTGACCTTCCTCTTACCTGGCCGAAAGTTTTATCCCTTAAAAAAAAAAAAAAGTGTGCCTAAGGTTTTTTGAAATTTCAACACTGCAATGATAGAAAAATGAAAAACATTTCCTTTGAGGGGAACCTGAGGGATGTGTCATTATCACGAATGTGAAGAAGAGGGTTGAACTGTTTGCCAGAGAGCTTAGTAATTAGCTAGCCTCATTCCATATCAGCCATCTCACCTCTGCCAAAGGTCGGAGAGCTAAAGGCTTCCCTCTATCAGCAAAGAGGATCTGGGTAAGCAAGCACCTTTCCTGATAGGGACAAGGGTTTTAGAATAAGAAGAGGTGAGAAGATGGGTTTGGTCATGGGAGCAAGCTGGTGTTAGGCTTTTTATCTTAAGAGGAAGAAGTCACAGGGCAGAAAAGAGCAGACGAGACTGGAGATAAAAGGCTCCTTAAACAAGGGGCCTCCTAGAGGTCACCAAGAATGGAGAAGGGTGACCCCAAGGGCAGGCTGAGCATGGCAGTCTGAATCCTGAAGGAGTCTTCCTGGCTGGGGGAAGAGAACGTGTTACAAACCAAGAAGGGCCAGAAAGGCCAGTGTGAAGTCAGACGGAAGCACTTAACCCAGGAGCTCTTGCCTGGAGTCAATACTCTGAGGATTCTGCCAGATCCTGAGGCCAAATCAAGGGCTTCCAGATTAGGCTATAAGTCTGAGAAGTTCAGCCAATGTAAAACACAGTCTATAACAGATTGAAGGGAGGAAACAGGATAGGGAAGCAGTGTGATATCATGGAAAAATCTAAGGCTTTGCAGCTAGACTTACTGTGTAACCTTGAGCAAGTTACTTAGCCCTTCTGAGCTTCAGTCCCTTCATTTGTAAAACACGCATAATATCTTCCTTGAAAGGCCATAGTGAGGATTCAGTAAGAAATGCATGTGAAACACCAAGCTTGGTATCTGGAAACTAGGTACTCAGTAAGTGTTAGTTTTTTTCCCCTTCCTAAAGCTGTGCTTTCAAGTCAATCATTGTATGTCTAGAGCCACGCTGTCCAATATAGTGGCCGATATTAGCCATATTTGGCTCTTGAGCACTTTAAAGGTGGCCAGTCTGAATTGAAATGTGCCATAAGTATAAAACAACAACAGATTTTCAAAACTTTGTACAAAAAAATTGTAAAGTGTCTTATTAATTTCATAGCGATTACATGTTGAAATAATATTTTGGATATATTAAGTTAAGTAAAAAGCATTATTAAAATTAACTTCACCTGTTTGTTTATACTTGATTTAATGTGGCTACTACAAAATGTGAAATTATAGTTTGGCTCACATTTTATTCCTATTGGACAGCACCTTATCTAGACATAAGATAAAGACAGGGTTGGGAAGCTGTGTTCTAGAAACTCATTTGTGATTTCCCAGTAAATGATCCTTTTTAAAAAAAATACCATCTGGCGCTCAACCAAAATGGGTGAAAGATACCTGTGCATCCCCAGTGGCCAGGTGTGTTGATGGCCACAAATCCAGGAAAAAGTAGGTAGGATATATCAGAGAATTGAGATGTCAGGTGGGATGGTCAGGGCTGCTGCGGATGGACTATTCCCTTCTTAGCCTGGAGCTTCACTCCAGATTCTCTACCTTTCTTTACTGCAGGAGGATGACCCCATCCTCTCTTATTTCTGAAGACTTCCTCCACTGTATGCATGAACTTGGCAGGAAGCAGGCTCCCACCAGGGAGTAACAAACACAGGTGCAAAAGAAAATGCCACATCAAAGCCATCTTTAGAAAACCCCAGAGTTTCCAGAGAAATGAACAGCAGACCTTCACAGACATGAGAATGTTCTCTTTTTTTCTCCCTCCCAAGAAGTGTGGTTGGTAGTTGTTTTTAAAACTGTACATTTTACTGTACTTTTTTTTTTTTAAGCAAAGGAGAATACTGGCATTTATATTCTGACCACAGGGATGTTGCTTTCCAAAACTCAAGTCAGAAACATGACAAACAGAAGAGCAAATACATATCATGTCATGACAGAACTCAGAGCTGCTGATGAGAATAGACAGTGAGTTGGTTTCTCCCCTTTCACTGTCCACCACTTTCCCTCTGGGTGCGTGAAGCCAAAGGCAAAGAGAAAGGTGGTATTTGAGACCTCTTCACAATGGCTACATTTTGAAAGGATGAGTGGGAAAGATGCAGAGAGAGAAAAGAGAGAAGGCAAAATGGAGAAGGGAAAAGACAGAGGGTGAGAGAGAGAGGTTTCCTTTCAAGTCACCCAATTTTCTGAGTGCCACCGTGACTGGGAGAGGGTTGTGCTCTGGCACTGAGATTGGCCTGGAAAATAAACTTGCAGTCTCATAAAAGACTGGCCTGGTTTGTTAATGACCTTGTCAGGACCAGAAAAGGATGGGGAAGGCAGAGAGTGATGGGGAGAAAAAGAATGAAAACAGGTCAGTGGAAGGAAGGTGAAGAGAGAGAAAAGCAGCAGAGGGGGAGGGAAGATGGCATGGGATCTGGAGGCTCCTGGGCTGGAGCCAGAAGGCAATGCTGCATACACAGTTCCAGGTCCCACCTTGTGTATTCTTGGGTGGGGTTGAGGGCCAGCAGCTCAGCTCCAGGTCTGAGCCCATTAAAACTTTTAAGCCCCAGATGGTCTCACCTGTGTGCTTTGCAGGCTGTGTGGTTGGTGAATGGAAGGAGGAAGAACAAGAGAGAGAGGATAGAGGTCTATGAAGAAGGCTTGGCAATGGAAAGAAGAGTTGGGGAGGCCAAGGGAGAGGTAGCGTGTTGGCAATGAGAAGAGACCTAGAAAGACACAGACAAAGGCCAGGAGGAACAGAGATGCAGGGGAAAGCCATTCAGATTTGTTTATAGCAATTTCTCCCTGGCCACCTCTCCTTTGTCCCTTCTCTTGCTGCTATCTGGGAGTGTGGGGGTTAATTCCTAGATGGAAAGGAGCCCACACACCTCTCCCATTCCCATCCTGTCATCTCTGTGGATGGCTCCTCCTCAGGAAAACAAGAGAAGGCATCCCCCATGTCTCACCCTGACTCACCTTCTTTAGGAACAAACATGGGACAGACTTTGGACACATAACTTCCCTAGTGAGGGTGAAGACAGGTCATGGATCCCAAACACCACCAGGAGGTAGGCAGTCTTGGCCTCTGCCCTGACCTGGTCACTAAATCATGGTGTGACCTTGGGCAAGTTCCTTATGTTCTGGGGCAGAAGGAGAGAGTGTTAAGGATGGGATGATTGCAAACACCTCCCCAAGCTTCAGAACCCTACAATTCTAAAAAGATTCAGCTTTCTCCCTCCAAACCCCCAAGAATTTTCCCCTTGTGTCCAGTAAGAAGGATAGTGACTGCTTTAGCAGCTCATGCTCCTGGTACCACTGAGCTGGAAAGCATAACATCTAGATTCATGAAGCATTAATTAATACTTAGAACTAGAAGGGAATCAGAGACCTTCTAGTATAATTCCAGTATTTCGCAAATTAGGAAACTGAGGCCCAATGGGAGAAAAGTTATTCTTGCTCAAGTTATTCAGCTGGTTATCCATGTGGCTCTGAAATCCAAACCCTGAGCTTCAGACATATAGTCCACTGCTCCTTCTGCTTTCCTTATGACCCCACACTGCTTTCCTTATGACAAGCCCTCCTGGCCCAGAGCATGCTCATGGGAACTTTCTGTACTGGCTTCCCAGAAGAGGCAAAAATCCCAACGCAGCTCCAGAAGATCCCTTATGTTCAGAGCTCTTCTCCTCCTCACACATAAGAAGACCTGGAAGTTACCCTTCTCGTTTCAGCTGCTGTGATGGATGTGGGGTGTCATGTTTGGGAAGCAAAGAAAACTAAGTCAGGTACCAGGGGTCACTTGCCCCTCCCAATATGGGGGTGGTTGGGAATAATGTGGACTCTGGGCAGGGCACTCCGTAGCCTTCCCCCAAAGAAGCGTGGAGCCAGAATTATTCCCTTCTCTTGTCAAGTGGCAACAATCACCCACTACCAGGGCTGTGGGGGAACAAGCTTTCATATGTAAACTTTGGATTACCTGTGTGAATGAAGAGGAGGAGTCTGGGAAATGGAAAAAATAAATTAAGAAATAAAAACAACACTGGACCCATAAGCAATCCAAAGCCGCTTGCTTGTACGCTACATTTGTGATCAGAAAGGCAGAGCCACCTTTCCAAACACTCAGGGCTCAGTCCGACACTTGAGCGAGTCCGCATTCCCTGAGCACACCCCGTCTGGGTGGTGGGGGACGGGTCTGGGGAGGTGATGTGGGTGGTGGCGGTGGGGGACGAGAGGGACAAGTGGCCATTGATAGTGAGACAAAACCGTCCCTGGATGTAAACATCACCATGGAAACTCCACAAAGACTTGCCATAAAGATGCTTTCCCCTTTTTCTTCCACCCCGCAAGGGTGGGAGGGAGGATGCCCACCCCCCGCCTACACCGTGCTCTCCATCACCCACTCGGAGCTGCCGAAAGTTCCCCGAGCCCCCACCAGGTCACTCTCCTCAAAGGGCAAGAGCATGCCATTGACAGAGAGGCTGCGCTTCGTCCAGATGTTCGAGACCCTCCGAGGGGGGCTGTAGCCACTGGGGGTGATCCCTCCTGCTGCCGCAGCCGCAGCCGCAAAGTCCCCCATGTCAAAGGAGTGGCTGCGTTTGGCCTTGCCCTCCAGGGGTAAAGGGAGCAGGCTCCTGGCCCGAGCGGCAGGGGGCCCTAGTAATGGCTCTCGGTCCGAGTGGTGGCCCCTGGCCGATGTCCCAGACCCTGTCCCAGCTGGAGTCCTGGAGTCTAGCAGCTCCTCTTTTCTCTGACTCTTGAGGTCCAGGGAGGCAAAGGCCCCCATCAGGCGGTCAAGGTTGGGCTTGGGGCGGGGAGCGGGATGAGGGAGCCTCCAGGGGCCCCGTCCAAGCCCTGCAGCCTCCCCACTGCCCAGGGAGCTGGAGGAAGAGGAGTCACTGCCTCGGACCAAGCTGGCAGTGAAGTCAACCAGCTCATTGCGCACCACCACCTTGGGTGGCTCCTGTGGTGGGGCCCCACTGGGTGCACTGCCTGGAGGCGGCGGCTGGGCCCCGTTGGTCTGAGAGTACACATTGCTGACAGTGGCTGCCACCAGCTTGCTGGGGGCCTCGTGGTTGCACACCTTGTAGCGCACCATGAGGATGACGATGAAGACCAGCAGCGTGGCCACGATGATGCCCCCGATGACAAGGATCACGGTGCCACCTAGGACCTGGCTGTGCATGGACTGGCACTGCGGGTAGTCAGCCTTGGTGAAGAATTGGGCGCAGCCCACAATGTTGGTGGCCGTGAGTGTCGTGGCTGTGTCGTCCCACATGGCCAACACACACAAGTCGTAGCCAGTCCCTGACACCAGGTTGTTGACCACGAAGGCCTTGTTGGAGGCTGGGATCATCCTGGGGGGGGTGGGAGGCAGACAGAGGGTGAGGGGTGGAGGGGCAGAAGGACAGGGTGATGGAGAGGGGACAGAGGCAGAAATAGAGAGGGTGGCAGAAAGAGGGAAAGGAGAGAGACAGAAAGGAGAAGAGACAGGAAAGGGGCGAGATGGAGAGAGAGAGGAGGGGGAGGAGGACGGGGAAGGGGCAGGCAGGTGACAGGCACAGGGCACAGGAAATCATGAACAAGAAGTAGAAGTGAGGAGAGAGATTCAGAGGAGGGAACAGAGAGACAGGTTAGGGTGAAAGGAAAGAGAGAAAGATTCCAGGATGGAGTATCAGGGAGAGGTGCAGACAGAGATCCAGAGGGGATCAGGTGAGAGAAAGCGACCCAGCCAATGTGGAAGTAAAGGCAGTGAGTGAAGATAAGGGAAGAGAATGATTGAAAGAGAGATGGGGGGTGTTTAGAGGTAAAGAGAAAAAGGGGGAGAGACTCGTGCAGAGTTGAGAGAGAACACATGGGGGAAAAGGGGGCGGAGGGAGAGACAGAGAGGCAGAAGGTTAAAGGTGTGAAGAAGCAGCAATTAGACAAAGGGCCACCCCACCACCCCCTTCCCCCATGTCTGCTGCTGATACTCCTTCAGGCTCTGGGAAGTGCAGGGTGAGAGTCAGGTCCAACCTGGCCGACCCCAGACTGCCCCTGAGGCTCACTCCACCCCTTGTCATGACTTCTGAGACTCATCAAGACCCACATCAACACTTAGGAGCCACCACCACCCTTGTCTCCAAAGGGCTTTTCATTATTCTGGAGGGAGGGCATTTGCTGCTGCAGACTGGTGGCTGGAGGGGTTGGGGGAGCAGTGGACACATGGGTAGGGGGCGCTAAGCAGAAGAGAGCTGGAGGCAGGAGGGAGCATGCTGCTCGGAGGTGGAGGGACGGTGCAGTGTTGAAGACTGGAGGGCAGTTGTGCATCCCAGAGGGAAGGGCGATCCCTCTGTCATAGCCATCTGAGAGACCTGGGGGAAGAGTTTC